TGGCTGGGGAATTCTGGGAGTTGAAGTCCAAAGGCCTTAAAGTTGTCACGGTTGAGAAACACTGCTGTAAGGCTAAGGAACTCTTTTGAGCAACTCAGAGCAAAGGATTTGGTAAAACAGCCTTCATCCCTCAGTTCAATGCCTCATCTCTTCCCCTCCTATTCTCTGGCTCTCCAGCTACTACCAAGTTCCAACTCCTAACATCTTCACCTGGCATAAGATACTGGGCTCTGTAATAGGGCAACCTCTGCAGGACAACACCCTTTGCCCTTCCATGTGCATGCAGACAGGGAGAGCTGATGTCGCCTCACCAACATGGGTGTTGATGAGATCCGTAGCACATTAAGAGTTCAGTTCCTGAGACCTGACATTTTAATTTCCTGAACTGAAACTGGCATTCACGGCTGGCATATAACAGGTACCAATTTGTAAGCACTCCAGATCGGCGGTGGGCAGCCTCCTTTGCAGAGCGGGCTGCAACCTGGTTTCTGAAGATGGGATCTACTCACGTTCCACAACATGATGGGCAAGGCTGGCACAGATAACGGGGCTTCCCAGCCATATCTGAGATCCTATGCTAAGCAGGTGCTTGGGCTAAATGGGTGGGGGAATGTCAGCTTTTTCAAACCAAGGGTCATGCTTGGCCTTTGACTAGTGAGGGAGGCCCAACTAACTCCAAACAGACCATGCCCTTTGGCTGAGTTTTCTACAACAGCACGGCCAGCAGGAGCATCTGCAGGGTGTGGTCAAAAAAGTCAAGATGGCAGCTGTGATGGTGCGATCAAAGCTCTGCCTGGTTATTATGGGCTGATGCCCTGACTGGGAACCATCCATGCAACCTCTTTGAGCGTAGCTTTGTGTGGTGCGTGGCCCCAAACCTCCCGGATTTTGTAATGCCCCCTTTCTGAGCCCTTTGGCCCATCTGCGGGGAGACTGTCCTCCCCTTCACAGGTGCAGCAGTAGCAACAGCTGGAAAGAAGCACGTCGCTGCATTGATGGAGGGAACCCGAGCATCACTTCCCCCTTCCATTAACTAATTAATGCAGTGGGAGGTGTGCAGGGTGGCAGTGCCTGCCGTGAACAAAGCGGATGAGCCCACCGAGGCATCCTGGCACAGCTACCCAGTAACAGAAGAATGGGGACTTGACGAAGTTTGGAAAAGACCCCAAGGGCTCCACGTGGCCTCATTCCCCCAGTAAAACCTGGGGAAAAGGGAGGCCCACCCATTCTCATTTGACCCATGGGAGCACACACACCGAAGGAGAAAAACCGCTGCCACCCTGGGCTGTGCCAGTTGCGTTCCAGCCTGGGCAATTTCTTTTCAACACAGCAAATGGGGTGGGAGAAATGAGGGTTAAGAGATGGAGTAAGCAAGGAGATGGGAAACATCCATATAAGAACTTTCCCTTTCAGCTTTCACTCCAGTAATAAAATTGTTGGCTCGCTTCTGACTCAGAAGGTCGTGAGAATACCAACGCTGGAGTTCGTTGCTGTCTGAACCCAGGCAACTGGTCTAATGGAATAAAAACGTGGTTAAATTAACCATCTGTAAGTGGGTTATGCAAACCCAAGTCTGCATTAGACAGCCAGCCAAGAATAAAACTCATGGATTAGTGTGGTAGGTAAACAAACCATGATTTATTTAAAAATATGAGTTTCCTGCGGCTGTCTGCACGCTAATCCACCAACGGTATTTAGCAAACCCCAATAGCAGTGATCACATAACATGGTAAGCTGAAGCAACGCCCATTACGGTTTCGCATCATGGTCTGCATGGCACAAAACGTTAAGAGACAGGCCGGTGGGGGTCTGCCTGCCGGAGCCACTGTGGTTTAGTAAATTATGGTTTGGGGTTTAGAGGGTGGCGTAGACACAGC